TCTCTCTCACTCACTCACTCACTCACTCACTCACTCACTTACATACATTAAAAAAACTCACGAATTTATATCAACATAACTTTTAATACAATATTTTAAAAAGTATTTGAATTTATTTTATTTTACAGGTAACTTTCGGTAATTTATAATAAATTCAATTATTTAATTCAAATTATTATATTTAAATTACAAATATTTTTAACAAGTGTTGTGAGAGCTGTCGCCCGGTTTTAATGATATCTTAGGTTTTACTGATATTTCAGGCTTTAAATTAGTTTTACTCAACAAAATCTCATAGAAAACTGAATTCACATTAGATTTGAGTCTATTTAACACCGAATTAAAATCCTTATGATTCGTGACAACAGTCTTATCGATAGACCACTCGTTATGTTTGACCAACACTTCCCGACACTCAGGTCTTTGTCTCCAAAAGGGTGTTGACATCATTGCCAGTAATGTCTGGTATAGACGTTGTATCGATGATTTGAATACCGATTCATTGGCATCGAGTGTTTCCGAGCTTTAAATTAATATTTATTATTATTTTATTAAAAAATTTAACAAAAATTGTACTAAAAATTTATAAAACACTTACGCCTGAAGATCGATACCAAATAACTCTTCGCCGATTACATACAGACTATAAATGTCTGATTTATGATTATATTGTTTACCCAAATGTACTTCGGGTGACATATATTTAATAGTGCCCACAACTGAGTGGTCGTATCGACTGGAAGTGTGTCTATCAATGTTGTGATCGGTGGCTAATCCAAAGTCACACAGTTTTATAAAACGATTGGATCTAATGTTGGGATTAATTAAAATGTTATCGGGTTTGAGATCCCGATGAATGACAGGCGGATCCGATTCGTGTAAATATTGAACACATTCTAAGATTTCTTTGAATATTTCACATGAAATGAAATATTCAAAGACACTATTCATCTGGTCTTCCGGTTGTCTCTCAAATACAGTGGCTTTGCCTTCGAGTAAAGTCCGAAGACTTTGCGGACAGAACTGCATCTGAATATAGAGATGATTGGACTCAAGCCATGAGTCGTAATATTTGACCACAAATTCTGAGTCCAATTTTGCCAAACTTTTTACTTCTTTCAAAATTCTAGATTTCTTTTCTTCACTAAAATCTGTGGAAATATTATTTAATTTTTTTGTAAATGAATGAAATAAATAATTATATCATTTACCCCCAAAGTGTACTCTTTTAACGGCATATATCTTATTATCCAATCTATGCTTCACTTTAAATACAGTCCCAAAACTACCCGAACCTATGGCTGACATCTCAATGAATTTTGTATTATAAAAATCATTACTTGAATTATGGTTAATACAATCGCCTTCAATAATGTTATCCTTATTTGCACTTTTAGTTTTATGATTAGTTTTGATTTTGGTTTCACGTTTATATGGTGTCAATGTAGGTTGTTTCAAACTTATTTGTTTCAAATCAATTGTATTGTAGGTTATTTCGTATTCATTTGCGTAGAAATCAATAAAATTATTATAATTTGTTTTAAATAATACATATTCTTTTGATATTATATGTACCCAATTGTCAATTAAAACACATAAGTATTCACTATATTTATTAATCGTATAAGAATGCAATTGTTGCATACGTTGGATATTAATTGTTGGTAATAATTGTTTTAGAGTACGCCGAATATGATAATTACCCTCATCCTCCAAACCACAGCTATATAAAGCATTTCTTGTGTGAAAATATGTTTGAATTTGGTTAAAACCAATTGATATCACATCACTTATGGTTGATATGATTTGCGGTTTCAATACTTTATCACCAGTTGTGCCTAAATAATGGCGTTTGTGTCCCAATTGATCGTATCTATTGTCTCCCCAACTGAAGACATGTCCATCACATGCGATGGCAAATGAAGAGTTATAACTACAATAAATGGATTGTATTTTATGATTGTTAGCATCGAATTGTATTTCAATTGGTCTAAAAATGTATTCATTATGAGTTTCACAACCAATTTGACCATAATTATTGCAACCCCAGGCATACACCCGGCCATCACCGGTGAGGGCCAGTGTGTGATATGAACCGCAACTGATTTGCACAATATTTTTATTATTAAAATATTCTATTATTTCTGGTTTTAAATCATATTTGTTATTATCATTATTTCTGGCGCACTGTCCGTATTCATTGTCACCACAACTATAGATACAATTCCTATCATTCACTGCCAATAAAAAATTATATCCATTGACAAAGTATTGTATGTTTTGATGACATAATTGTGGTATTAATTTTGGTGATGGTTTCCTATCGTGTTTTGCAACCAGAAATCTAATGAAATTATTACCAGAATCGTAGACCATATCGTCGTTGGTTACAAATATTACATTAGGTTTGTTATTATAATCGCAATAAATATGTAATTTTGTTATTTTTTCTTTAATAACTGTAGAAATTTCATCACAAATTGTAAACTTTTTTAATAATTCGGACATTGTAACTTAATTATACAGTTATTATATTCAATACAAAATACGGTTTTAATAAAAAACAATTATTATCATTAGTTGATTTATATTGTATAAATGTAAAATATATCAATAGTTACTTTAATAATCACATATACACATGTATATTCACATGTATAATCACATGTATATTTGTATTTGATGTACAAATATTTGCATTCAATATAAAGTTATATTTCATATTAAAGATTTGCAACAGTGTGATAATAACCACAGTGTTAATCATATTGACATTATAGGTATTATTTTCAAACATACCTCAATAACTTACAACATAAATAAAATTCCACAAGAATTTATAATTATACCGAACGATCTATAAAACACATTATTGTAACTAAATTATAAATGTTTAAGTATTTATCATATCTAGATTCTAGAATAAATATTAAAATAATTATGGTAATACCTATTTGTTCTATTTGAATTTTTGGTTGTATTAAAATAATATTAGGTATTATATTTTATTACATCTGTAAAACTGTGTTTATTTTTAAATAATAAATTAATTAATATTTATGGGGCTAGAGATCAATGTCTAAAAATTTAATTATTAATTGTTTTATAAATGTTTTGCATGTGTTTCCTAAAATATTTGGTCGCCAACAAATTATACATTAGCTATAAACATTTATTACAAATATTTTTCAATGACAATAAATTAATAAAATATAACTTTTATTTATTATAACTTACCATATCTTAAAGTCATTGAAAAATACTATAATAAACGCTTTCACTTTAATATGCATTTACAGAATAACTTAAGGAAAATGAGTTAACATAAGATTTAAATGAATTTAACAGTAAATTGAATTTATATTACTATAATTTATCGACTGCCCAGTGGTTATACTAATTGGTTGGTTATACAAAGTCGTATTGGTTTTATGAAATAAAATCTTATAGAAAACTAAATTATCATTAGTTTTAAGTGTATTTAACATTGAATTAAATTCTTGATTATATACGATAACACTTTTATCAATTGACCACTCATTATGTTTGGCCAACACTTCCCAACACTCAGGCCTATCACTACTAATGGGTGTTGACATCATTGCCACAAGTGTCCGATACATGCATTTCAGCGGTAATTTGAGAAAATGTTCATTAGTTTCAGACGATTGTGAGCTATAAATAAGTATTACTTAAATAAATAATACGCATAAATATAATAAGACGATAATAATACCAACAAGAAAGTCATAGATAACTTACTCCTGAACATCAATGCCAAACAACTCTTGACCGATAACATGGAGACTATAAATGTCTGCTTTTTGGCTATATATACCGCTGTATACTTCGGGAGCCATATATTTTCTTGTGCCCACAATTGAGTGCTCGCATCGACTCGAAGTGCTAGAAGTGATGTTGTGATCGACAGCCAAACCAAAGTCACACAATTTTATAAAACGATTGGACTTAATGTTGTGTTTAATCACTATATTATCGGGTTTGAGATCCCGATGAATGACTGGCGGAACCGATTCATGTAAATATTGGACACATTCTAAGATCTCTTTGAATATTTCACATGAAATAAAGTATTCAAAAATATTCATCGGGTTTTCTTGTTGTCTCCCGAAGACAATGGGTTTGTCTTTGAGAAGGAATTTAAGGCTTTGCGAACAAAACTGCATTTGAATGTAGAGATGATTGGACTCAAGCCATGAGTTGTAATATTTGACCACAAATTCTGAGTCCAGTTTTACCAAATTATCCACTTCTCGGTGGATTTGAATTTTCTTTTCTTCACTAAAGTCTGTAATAATATAATTATTATATTTGTTAGAAAATTTAATAACAATTTAAAGTTTATATTAATTAATACCTTCAAATAGTACTCTTTTAACGGCATATATTTTATGATCCAATCTTTGCCTTACTTTAAATACAGTCCCAAAACCACCCGAACCTATGGCTGACATCTCAATGAATTTTCTATCATATTTACCTTCACATAACTTAACATTTATGTTATTTACGCTAACCATTGATGTCAATATTAAATTCTCGTTAAGTCGTCTCAAATGAATTGTATTATAAGTCATTTGGTATTGATTTGTGTAAAAATCAATAAAGTTCTTATAATCTGTTTCAACAATTTTGTGTGTTTTCAATACTTTATATATTTTCTTATCAATTATAACACAAATAAACTTATTATTAGTGAAATTAATCCATGAATTATTTTCGCCCACTTTTTCAATATGATGTGCGGATAGTATTTGTTTCGGTGTTTTCGCAGATTTAGAAGTGAAACATGGTTTCTTAAAACATTTTCCACTAAAATACAAACCATTTGATGTGTGAAAATATGTACAATAAATACTACCACTAATTGTTTCTACATCACTTATGGTTTGAATCAAACGGGGTTTTAATAATTTATCGTCCATTAAATTGTGTCCCAATCTATGGTTAGTATTCTGACCCCAACTGTAGACATGTCTCTCAGATGTGATGGCAAATGAAGAGTTGTTATAACAATAAACGGATTTTATTTTACAATCATTATTGAATTTTACTTCAATTGGTCTATAAATACATTGATTTTTATTTCCGCAACCAATTTGTCCGAAATCATTGCAACCCCAGGCATACACCCGGCCATCACTCGTGAGGGCCAATGTGTGCCCAAAACCACAACTGATTTGAACAATATTTTTATCATTCAAATATATCATTTCTGGTCGATAACAATTTTGATCGGTTTTAATTCTTGCTAATTGACCACATCCATTTCTACCCCAACCATATATGTAATTCATATCATTTACAGCTAATACGAAATCCTTTCCATTGACAAAGTATTGTATGTTTTTATGGCATAATTCTGGTATTATTTCTGGTAATAGTATAGGACTGTTGTGTCCAAAACCCAGACATCCATTACTATTGTTGCCAAAACCATAAACCAAATCAATACTTGTGACAAATAAACCATTAGACTTGTTGTCTGAATCATGAAATACATGTAATTTTAAAATATTTTTTCTTAAATTGACAGGAATTTTATCACAATATATGCACTTTTCAATTATTCTTCTATTATAAATATTATCACTTGAAGAGAGGGTCGTTTTTCCACTTTTTTGTTGCAACAAATCAAACGTATTATAAGTTATTTGACACTCATTTGCATAAAAATCAATAAAATTATCATAATTTGTATCAAATAATGTGTTATTGTGTTTTAATACTTGATATATTTTATTATTGATTAAAACACATATGAAATTATTTTTATTATAGTTGATCCAGGAATTAATTTGTTGTATATCTTTGATACAATATTGTGCTAATAGTTGTTTTGGTGTTTTTGCAATCATTTTGCTATCATTTTTATAATATTTGCCACAAAAATACAAACCATTTGTTGTGTAAAAATATGTACCAAAATATGAAGACGCGATTGCTTTCACATCGATTACCATTGATATCATTCGGGGGTTAAATATATTATTTTCATATAAATCGTGCCCTAATTTATGGTCTTTATTATTACCCCAACTGATGACATGTCCGTCGGATGTGATGGCAAACGAAGAGTTATTAAAACAATAAACGGATTGTATTTTATAATTATTAACAAACTTTATAGCAATTGGTTTATAATTATATCTACTATTATCTCCGCAACCAATTTGTCCGCAATCATTGCTACCCCAGGCATACACCCGGCCATCACGTGTGAGGGCCAGTGTGTGACGATAACCACAACTAATTTGTGTAATTTGTTTATCATTTAACTCTGATATTAATCGTGGCTCTAATATATCATTAGCCGATCTATTCTCAAACCCTAATTGACCATATTCATTACAGCCCCATCCATGTAACCTATTTATGTCACTTACTGCTAATGCAAAGTCATATCCATTGACAAAGTATTGTATGTTTTGATGGCATAATTGTGGGATCAGTTCTGGTGATTGTATACGACGCTTGTGTCCAAAACCAAGACGTCCTTTTGAATTATGACCAAAACCATAGACAATATCATCGGTTGTGATAAATAATACATCAATTTCTTCGTTCACATCAACAAAAACATGTAATTTTATAATATTTTCTCTAATGATTGTCGGAATTCTACTACAAATTGTAAACCTTTCTAATAAATCGCACATTTTTGTATTATTTTAATAATTTTTACTGATTATAACACAACATTTAAAATATTATTAAAATACAATTTTAATTTTAAACATTTAATATGCACATACTTTTAACGTAACCCAGAATTGTGTTAATTATTAACATACTGTATATATTTAGTTAATAATTAACAACAGTTATTCAGTTATGTTTTATAATAGTTTTGCACTATATTTATAATTTTTAAGAAAACTTTTATCACAAATCATATAATATTAAATGAAATGCTGACTATAAAACAGATAGATAAAACATTATGACATTATTATAAATATTTTACACAAATATTGTTTACTTATATAAATTTCAAAACATATCTGAAAATATAATAATAAATTGTAATAGTTTATAATATTTTAAATTCGTAAGCTTACTAATTTAAAATGAAATTCAATATGAAATAAATGTTTAAATATAATTACGTTTTTATTTATTTGTGCTAAATGGGATATATTTTTAAATAAATCCAATTTTATTAAAATGTGATATAGTTTAAAATCAAATGTAGACAATATTTAGTATGCTAATAAAATAACGTACGTAAAACGTGCTAATTGCTTTATTGTATATAATATAATTTTATGCCTGTACACTGGTTTGTAGTACATTTAATAAGATAGGTCACCAAGGTAAAAATCTAATTTATTATGGCCAATATTTTACATTTAAAACACATTAATCATAAACAAAATAATAGAATAAATGTGGTAATAATTAGACCAATGATATCAACATTTGGTGGCCTATGTATAGGAGGGTACCAAAAGGTGGCTACACGTGCGTCCAGTTGTGCCTAACATTAAACTTTTTTTAAATAATCTTATTATTTCTTTACTAAAATCTGTTAAAATATTTTAATGTATTATATTAATTGTTTTTATTTCATTAATATTATGAATATGTGTTATATTTATTTTCAATTTGCATATATTTGACCGCATTTGTTTTTTATATAATTATTTAATCAATAATTTTATAGGTTACATGACATTAATTGGTGTAAAACTCGTTAAAATTATTATTATCAGTTTCAATAAATTTATGTTCATTTACTAACTTATATATTTTATCATTGATTTAAACAAAGATTAAGTCTTGAGAGCATATTATCGTGTTTTACGCGAGAGAAGCTCATAGAAAACTGAATTCACATTAGATTTGAGTCTATTTAACACAACATTAAACTGTTTATGATTAGTGACAACAGTCTTATCGATAGACCACTCGTTATGTTTGGCCAACACTTCCCGACACTCAGGCCTTCGCTTCCAAAAGGGTGTTGACATCATTGCCAGTAGTGTCTGATACAGAAATTGTATGTATAATTTTAACTCCGATTCTTTCACTTCAAACGATTCTGAGCTGTGAATACATAATATAAATATGAAAACATTTTAATTAACATATTTGTAAAATACATACGTTTGGAGATCAATATTAAACACCTGTTCGCCGATTACATACAGACTATAAATGTCTGATTTGCTATTATATCTACCGCTATAAACTTCGGGTGCGATATATCGTGTTGTGCCCACTACTGAATGCGCGTACCTTTTAGATGACTGGCCATCGATGTTGTGATCAGTGGCTAAACCAAAGTCACATAGTTTTACAAAACGATTGGAATTAAAGTTGGGATCAATTAATATGTTATCGGGTTTGAGATCCCGATGAATGACAGGCGGATCCGATTCGTGGAGATATTGAACGCACTCTAAGATCTCTTTAAATATTTCACACGAAATGAAATATTCAAAAACACTATTCATCGGGTCTTCCGGTTGTCTCTCGAATACAATGGCTTTGCCTTTGAGTAGAGTCCGTAGACTTTGCGAACAGAACTCCATCTGAATGTAGAGATGATTGGACTCAAGCCATGAGTCGTAATATTTGACCACAAATTCTGAGTCCAATTTTGCTAAACTTTTTACTTCTTTGAAAATTCTAGATTTTCTTTTTTCACTAAAATCTTTGGAAATATTAATAAATATTTTTATTAATAATTGAAACAAATAATTATGATATTATTTACCCCCAAATTGTACTCTTTTAACGGCATATATCTTATCATCCAATCTATGCCTTACTTTAAATACAGTCCCAAAACCACCCGAACCTATGGTTGACATCTCAATGAATTTTGTATTATAAAAATCATCACTTGCTTTATGTTTAATACAATAGCTTTCTTTTGTGTTATCTTTAATTTCACTTTTTGCATCATGTATATTTTTTATGTTGGTATCACGTTTATATTGTGTCAATATGGGTTGTTTTAAATCAATTGTATTGTAGGTAATTTCGTGTTCATGAGCGTAGAAATCAATAAAACTTTTATAATTTGTTTTAAATATTTTATCTTCGTTTGATACAACATGTACCCTATTGTTAATTAAAACACATAAGAATTCCCTATATTTATTAATTGTATAAGAATGCAATTGTTGCATATGTTGGATATTAATTGTTGGTAACAACTGCTTTAGTGTACGTTCAATATAATTACCATCATCTTCCAATCCACAGCTATATAAACCATTTGTTGTGTGAAAATATGTTTGATTTTGGTTAAAACCGATTGATATCACATCACTTATGGTTGATATAATTTTTGGTTTCACTAAATAATACTCGGTTATACTGTGTTCCAATTTATCGCACCTATTTAGACCCCAACTAAACACACGTCCGTCGTATGTGATGGCAAACGACGAGTGATTATAACAACAAATGGATTGTATTTTATGATTGTTAGCATCTAATTGTATCTCAATTGGTGTATAAATGTAGTCATTACTATTTCCACAACCAATTTGACCATAATTATTCAGACCCCAGGCATACAGCCGGCCATCACCAGTGAGGGCCAGTGTGTGATATGAACCACAAATGATTTGCACAATATTTTTATTATTAAAATATGTGATTATTTCTGGTTTCAAATCATATTTGTTATTATCATTATTTCTGGCGCACTGTCCATATTCATTGTCACCACAACTATAGATACAATTCATATCATTTACTGCTAATAAAAAATTATATCCATTGACAAAGTATTGTATGTTTTGGTTACATAGTTGTGGTATTAATTTTGGTGATGGTTTCCTATCGTGTTTCCCAACCAGAAATCTAATGAAATTATTACCAGAATCGTAGACCATATCATCGTTTGTTACAAATATTACATTAGGTTTGTTATTATAATCGCAAAAAATATGTAATTTTATTATTTTTTCTTTAATAACTGTAGGAATTTCATCACAAATTGTAAACTTTTTTAATAATTCGGACATTGTAACTAAATTATACAGTTATTATATTCAATACAAAATACTGCTTTAATATAATATTATTATCATTACAATTATCATTATTATTTAATTTATATTGTATAAACGTAAAATATATAACAAAAATATTACTAGTTACTTTAATAATCACATATTTATTTGAATTTGGGGTACAAATACTTGCAATCAATATATATTTCATATTAACTAATTTCAAGAATGTGATAATAACCATAGTATTAATCATATTGACATTATAAGTATTATTTTCAGAAAATACCGCAATAACTTACAACATAAATAAAATGACACAATAATTTATAATTATACCGAGTGATATATAAACCACATTATTGAAAATGAATTATAACTTTTTTGGTTAATAAATGTTTAAGTATTAATCATATCTAGATTCTAGAATAAATATCAAATTACTTCAGACATGTTTTAGGATTTTTCACAAACATAAGTTTGAATTTAACATTATATTTATGAAATATTTTTATTAATAAATTTTTATAGAATGGAATTTTAATTGTAATATAAATTTTAATTAGAAATTTCTGTATTTAATATGTGAATACAATGACATCGAATGAGTATTAAATATTTAATTGCATTACACTATAAGCAAATTGTGTGTGAATTTAATTTCGGCATTTGGATTTTAAAAACTCATAGAAAAATGAGTTTTTATGCAATTGAAGGCCATTTAATATAAATATTAAATCAGCGGTTATAATGGTTTGCCTATCGATAGACCACTCGTTATGTTTGGCCAACACTTCCCGACACTCAGGCCTTTGTCTGTACACAATTGCCATCATGTTCTCCAGTGTTTGAGACATACATGACTTGAATACCGATTCATTTGCATCAAACGATTGCGAGCTATAAATATAATACAATAAAACTTACAGTAAAACCAAATATGTTTGTTGTATAAAATAAATTTGTTGTACACTTACGCCTGCAAATCAATATCAAACAACTCCTGTCCTATTAGACTAAGACTAAAAATGTCTGCCTTTTGGTTATAATTACGGTGCGGCACTTCCGGCGCTCTATATCTATTAGTGCCGACCGCAGAGTGTATGTATCGGCTATCCTTGTGTCGGCTCGGGTCGTGAACAGTGGCCAAACCAAAGTCACCCAATTTTATAAATCGCCGGCTATTGTTGTTATTATCATATAATGGTTTGGCAATCAAAATGTTGTCCGGTTTGAGATCCCGATGAATAACCCGTGGAACCAATTCGTGAAGGTATTGAACGCTTTCTAAGAGCTCTTTAAATATTTCGCACGATATGTAATACTCGATGGCATTCATGGGTTCGGCCGGCGATTGTCTGCCAAATGCCAGCGCTTTGTCGGCCAATACTTTGCGCAGACTTTGCGGGCAATACTCCATCTGAATGTACAGCCGATTGTTGTCTATCCAAGAGGTGTAATACTGGACCACATATTCTGAGCGCACGCTTTCCAAACTTTTTACCTCATTTAGTACTCGCAGTTTGTGTGCATCACTCGAGGCTAGAAATTATTCAAATGTAAAATGTTTGCAAATATGATAATTAATCTACAAATTAAACAATTATAGTAAAATTAGTTGACTTACCGAGAAAAGTGACCGTTTTAATGGCGTACACCTCATCGCTCGAGTTATGCTTCACTTTATACACAACACCAAACCCACCCCTACCTATCAGCTCGGGTTTGCCAAAGTCATTGGTGTTAACGCTCTGACCTGTCATATATATCATAATATAATTTAGTTTATATAGTTTTAATCAATAAAGTTAACTATGGTTTACAATTACCACCACTTGTTTCCACTGCTTTAATGTTATGAATAATAATCTGTTGTAACGTTTCATTGAATTGCTTGTTGTCATCGATTGGCATATTCTCATCGCTTTTCATTTCGATATCATTTGATGTTATAATTGATATTTCATTCATTTCTCTCAAATCAATTGTTTTATAAGTGATTTGGTATTTATTGACGTAAAACTCGATTAAATTATTATAATTGGTTTCGTATAGTTTGTGATCATTTGATAATTTGTAGATTTTATCGTTACTTAAAACACAAATAAATTCATTATTAATATCAACGGCAAAATCAATTTGTTTTACACAATAATTAAATATATGTTTAGGAATTTCTTCAATGATTTTAATACTATTTATATAATACTCTCCGCAAAAGTATAAGCCGTTTGTTGTGTGAAAATATGTACCAAATTGTGAGCAAATGATTGATTTCACAGCAGTTATAGTTGATATCCATTGAGGTTTTGACACTTTCTCATCAGTTATATTGTGTCCCAATCTTTGGTTACAATTCTCACCCCAACTGAAGACATGTCCATCGGATGTGATGGCAAATGAAGACTCAATATTGCAATAAATAGATTGTATTTTACAATTAATGGGGAATTGTATCTCAATTGGTGTAAAGAAATATCCATTTATATCTCCACAACCTATTTGTCCCCAACTGTTGTCACCCCAGGCATACACCCGGCCATCACTCGTGAGGGCCAGTGTGTGATATGAACCACAACTTATTTGAACAATATTTTTATCGTTCAAACATGCCATTAATTGAGGTGTTAAATAAGTACCCTGGGCCAATCGTCGCACTCTATAATCGCCCCAAATGAATATGTTATTCAAGTTATTCACGGCCAACACATAATCACATCCATTGATAAAGTATTGTATACTTTGATTACGCAATTCTGGTATCTCTTGAGGTTGTGGTGCGGGTCTGTTGTGTCCCAATCCAAGACATCCGTTGCTATTATTGCCAAAACCATAGACAATATCATCGCTCGTAATGAATAATACGTTGGTTTTGTTGATCACATCATTAAAAACATATAATTTAACGACATTTCCGTTAATATGAGTCCAATTTTGATCACTAATTGCAAACTTTTTCAATAACTCACTCATTATTTAAAAAGAGATTTAAACACAGAATACATAAAACAAAATTAATTATAGTTAAAAATTTTAATTAATAAATTTAAAATGCATTAAATAAATAGCATTTTCGTTGTTTAATTGGTGTAACAATTTTGCAAATATTTATCAAAACTGATAGTTTGAGACAAAATGCAAACTATTTATACAAATTGAGTCCAAATATGATTAGTTAAATCTGGGATTAAAATCTGGACCACATTTTTAGCCCCGGATTAAAGTTTGTTGATCTGACAAAAGGATATGATTTCTATCAACAATACAGTATTGAATAGTATTGAATATTTGACATTTTAAAAGCAACTTTGTTGATAAACATACAGTACATGTAATCCAAAGCACATGTGCTTTATTATCTATGATGAAATTCTGATTAAACACATGAACAAAGTTATGCATATTTTAAAGTGATGCCAAGCGGGTATTAGCGGCAGTTCACAAATTACGTCCGCACACCACCTCATTTAGTACTCGCAAGTTTGCCAATCCATGTGAGAAATTAGTCAAATATTAAATGTTTTACCAATATGATATCAATTTACAATTACACAATTAGATAAAACCACCGAGGTATGGCCAATTTAGTGATCGCATTCAAGGCATATAGCATGCAGTACTGGTGATTAGTCCAAGCACTATTTATATATTTTTAATCACAAAAATTCATTAAATATTTTTATTGATAAATTTTTATAAAATGGAATTTCAATTGTAATAAAAATTTTTGTATTTAATTTGTGAATACAATGACATGAAGTGAGTATTAAATATTCAATTACATTACAATATAAGCAAATTATGTGTGAATTTAAATTCCGGATTTGTATTTTAAAAACTCATAGAAAAATGAGTTTTTATACGATTGAAGTTTATTTAATATTACTTTCAAATCAGCGGTTTTAATGGTTTGCCTATCGATAGACCACTCGTTATGTTTGGCCAACACTTGTCGACACTCAGGCCTTTGTTTCCATCGCCGGCCAGTTATCATCATATCCTCCAGCGTTTGAGACATACATAGTATGCGTGACTGAAATACCGATTCATTTGCTTCAAACGATTGCGAGCTATAAATATAATACAGTACAACAAAACTTACAGTAAAAATGAACTAAATATGTTATAAAATAAATTTGTTGTACACTTACGCGTGGAAATCAATGCCAAACAACTCCTGTCCAATGAGACTAAGACTATAAATGTCTGCCTTATGGTTATATTGACGGTGAGATACTTCGGGCGCTCTATATTTATAAGTGCCGACCGCCGAGTGTTGGTATCGGCTGTCAGTGTGTCGACTCGGGTCGTGAACAGTGGCCAAACCAAAGTCACACAATTGTATGAATCGCCGGCTATTGTTATTATCACCGCTTAATTTGTTGGCAATCAAAACGTTGTCGGGTTTGAGGTCCCGATGAATAACCCGTGGATTCAATTCGTGAAGATATTGAACACATTCTAAGAGTTCTTTGAATATTTCACACGATATGTAATATTCAAAAAGATTCATCGGATCCGCCGATTGTCTGCCAAATGCCAGCGCTTTGTCGGCCAATACTGTGCGCAGACTTTGCGGGCAATACTCCATCTGAATGTATAGCCGATTGTTGTCTATCCAAGAGGTGTAATACTGGACCACATATTCTGAGCGCACGTTTTCCAAACTTTTTACCTCATTTAGTACTCGCAGTTTGTGTGCATCACTCGAGGCTAGAAATAAATCAAATGTGAAATGATTTTACAAATATGATAAATAATCTACAATTAAACAATTATAGCAAAATTAGTTAACTTACCGAGAAAAGTGACCGTTTTAATGGCATACACCTCATCGCTAGAGTTATGCTTCACTTTATACACAACGCCGAACCCACCCCTCCCTATCGGCTCGGGTTCGCCAAACTCATCGGTGTTAACGCTCTGACCTGTCATATATAATGATATTTTTATTTATATAATTTTAATCAATAAAGTTAACTATGGTTTACAATTACCACTACTTGTTTCCACTGCTTTAATGTTATGAATAATAATCTGTTGTAACGATTCGCTGAATTTCTTGTTGTCATCGATTGGCATATTATTATTGCCATTCATTTCGATATGATTTGATGCTATGATTGATATTTCATTGATTTCTCTCAAATCAATTGTTTTATAAGTGATTTGGTATTCATTGGCGTAAAAGTCGATTAAATTATTATATTTGGTTTCGTATAATTCGTTATCATTTGTTAGTATATGGATTTTATCGTTAGATACACACGTGATGTGATTTGAATTAATATTAATACCCGAATCGATTTGTTGAAAATCATCACTTAATATAAGTGTTGGAATCATTAGATTATTACCATTATATTTACCACAAAAGTATAGACCGTTAATTGGGACACCGTTGAGCACAAAAGTTGTTGAGGTAAAATATGTACCCAATTGTGAACAACAAATTGTTTTCACACGCGTTATGCGCGATATGAGTGTGGGTTTCAATACTACCAAATCGTTTATATAGTGTCCCAATTGATTATAACGATTGTCACCCCAACTGAAGGCAAGTCCATCGGATGTGATGGCAAACGAAGAGTTATTATAGGAATAAATGGATTGAATTTTACATATATTAAGGAATTGTGTTTTAATTGGTTTAGAAATATGTCGACTATTATCTCCGCAACCAATTTGTCCCAAAGAGTTGTCACCCCAGGCGTACACCCGGCCATCACTTGTGAGGGCCAGTGTGTGATGTGAACCACAACTGATTTGAACAATCTTTTCATTGTTAACAAATGGTATTATTTCTGGCGTTACATAAATTTTATTATTAGTATTTGTGGCCAATTGGTGCAAACGATTATAACCCCAACTGAATATAATGTTCACATTATTTATCGCTAACACGAAATAACATCCATTGGCAAAGTATTGTATATTTTGATGACATAATTGTGGGATCAGTTGTGGTGATAGTATGGGTCTGTTGTGTCCCAAACCCAGACATCCCATGCTATTATGACCCAAACCATAGACCATATCATTGTTTGTCACAAATAATACATTAGGTTTTTGTTGAAAATCATTAAAAACATATAATTTATTGATAATTGCTTTGATATCACTCGCAATTCGATCACAAATTGTAAACTTTTTCAAAAAATCACTCATTATTTATATTTTAAAACATTATTCAAAGTTTGAATTTCAAACACAAAAAAACACTACATATGATTAATTTGAGGCATAATTTGGTTGTATTTCGGCCTTTATGTACCATGGGTCAGACACTCAAAAAGTTTTTTTTTTGTTTTTTTGATCTGGCCATTATATAATGCATATAAAACTATACTTATTCATACAAAATAATTAAAGTAAAGGTGTTTGGGCAAAACTAATTGTTAAATTAC